CAGCGTGCGGCATGCCGCGATAGCAGGCGTATTCAATAATGTCTGCCTCAAGGCAGAGCAAGTTGTCGAGCATAGACCTCTTGCGCACGAAACCCGTCTGGGAGCCTAAGACGCTGTGCTGGCATTGTTGGCTAAATGATTCGCATATGGCCAATGATACTATTTTGTTATCAGTGTTGCTGAGAGCAATAGGGCGCACCACAGACGCTTCCCGAGAGATCTCAGAGGTTCCAGCTTCGTGAGGGCAGATGGCCTTAGGGAGGTATACCGTGAGAGACTCGTTGAAGCCTTTATGCGGGGGCCCATATGTAGGATTGTCCAATATAGCGAGATAAACTTGATACAAGGCATTGTGAGCAGCGTCTCCAGCGAACCGCCAGGCACTGTAGGGAATTCCGTCAGGGCCAGTCGCGCTGTCCTTGCGGCTGACGAGCTTACCTATGAAGCTATGCAGGTCGAGCGTCCACTCGATACCTGGGGCAACCTGCTGAATCTCACTGCTCAACAGTGTCTTCTGGAAGTGGTATCCCCTGTCCTGAGGCTTCGCGGCATGGACCCGCCCCCAGTGGGACGCAAGGTTCTGAGCACTGACTTCGAGATCAGGCGAGGGGTTCCCGGTGGGGTCGGGGACCGAAACCAGATCGATTCGGCGCCTTTTGGGGGACCACTGTCGCAGAAGCTGGTGCAACCTGAGGCCTCGATCGTCGTCGGGGGCTCCGCCACCTTCGACGTGTTCGCGAATTTCTCGCTGAAGCAGAGAATGCTGGAGCTCGGCCATTTCCCGATAAAAAGATACAGAATCTCTAACACAACATTCATCAGCATGAACATGTAGACTAAGATGAGGAATAGCCTGGATACACCTCCGAACGTCCCAAGACTTGCCATCCCGAACAGCCCGTAGAAACTTCAGGTAAACCGACAACTTCTGCGCATCATTGTTGGGGCCTCGGAAGAACATGCGAGTCATCAGAGCATCCTTGGCAACATACATCGCGTCTTTGACGGACAGGAGGTACTCGAACGGGTCCCTGGGCATTTCAACCGAACTTATGGCAGCATCAACCTCAGAACCAAAATCAGGATGTTTGGCAATCCAGGAGGGGATCGTCGGGGTAGTTCTGCCGCCAAGCGAAAACTGAAGCCAAACAGGAATATGGTCGCTCGGCTGGGCGACATCGTGAGCAAGACCTATGACACCGCTTCTTGGTGTCGCATCAAGAATGTCGGTGGTGGCAGAAGATGTAGACCTATCCAGGCGACCAAGGCTGAGAGCACCGTCCTCCCTCCTCCCAGTCCGATGAGTGGGCTCCTGTTGGGCAACTTCAGCAAAGTGTCCGAAAGCCCGAGAAAACATGTGTAGAATAGCGGTCCTCTCAGGGGTGGGTTCCCTTCCGTCTGTGAACGTCCTCATCTCCCCCTCCTCCAAGAAGTTAAGATCGCCTCCCAAGGTGACTGTGGCCTGATCAGCAGGCAGAGCGTGAGCAGCAACCGCACGGATCACACGATCCTTCTCAACGTCGGAGAGGGTAGGGTCGAGGTGAAAGTTAATCAATTGCAGCGTGCCTTTCTCGCCTGTCAGTGTAACTGCTATGCATCGTCCATCGATAATGTTAACTACGTGGATGTCCTGAAAGAGCAGGAGCAAGGAAGGATCAATAGACATGGTAACGCCTCCCGCAGCCGCAGAAGAGCAAAAAGAGCCAAGGTGCGTGTGTGCTGGCACGTCACGATCCAGCGAGGAAAGATCTTCTTCGGTCCCGTGGGCTTCCTGCAAAAATACTACTTGAAAGCGTTGTGCAAGACTGCTGAAAATCTGCTGTTTCCGATGCTGTCTCTGTGGATCGCCGTAAACACTGCCAAAAAATGCACGAGTATTCCAAGAAGCAAGACCCATAGCACGAGAAACAACAAATGGATGCCGCTGCTCAGCAAGAGCAGCTTCACCTCCCCCAGGAGAGTGTGGATCAGGAAGGTAGGGATCATGAATAGCTGGAGCATTCTCAGGAGGAAGAGAGTCAGGCGGTGTCGAGGTGGCCTCCCCCCGTTCTCGCAGCAGGGCTCGCAAACGTTCAGGATCGAATTCATCGTCACTATCGCTCCCAGATACTGGCTCACTCCGCCCCTATTCGCGGCGAAGCGCAGCAGTGACCAGCTCGGGCAGCTTGTCTACTTGCTCGTCGGTGAAGCCGTAGCGCTTCAAGTTGCCGCGGTTGGGCTCGACGTTCGGGTTGTCGGTCTCGAGGACATTCTGCAACACGACGAGCTCGTCAACGAGGTCGCCGTTGACCAAGAAGCAGAGGCCCATGTACTTGCTGCATCGGAGCTGCGAGTCAGGACGCCATGTGCCAGCGTCGGTCATGACCTGCTTGATGTGTTGCCAGACCTGGCCCAGCACCCAACCTTTCTTGCGGATGTCGATGGGTTCGTCGGTGCCGACCCGAAGCCGATGCCGAAAGCCACTGCCATCTCCCCATTCTAGCGTCATGGCACGCAGCTGCAACAGGGCATTCTTGGCGTCGTCGGCGTCTTCGAAGATGATGACGTAAGCGTACTTGCAGCTCTTGGTGATCGCGCTGCACTTGTCGCGGTAGGTGGGCGAGAGAAGTGTCTTCAGGAACTCGAAGTGCTTGTCGAATGCAGAAGCCATCAGCTTGACAGGGAACCCTCGCACCCAGAGCTTCCGCCTGTCAGCAGGCGCGGCGCTAGCTCCACGGGGCGTGGCCACGGTCCCCCATGTGCTGGCGATGCCAGACGCCGTCGAAGGTGGTCGTGAAATCGTAGCGACAGAGGTCTTCAGCTCCTCGAGTGCGGCATTGATGACGCTGATCTTCTGGTCGGTCTGAGCGCTAAGTAGTGAAACCGTCAGGCATGTGTCGACCATCTCGTCAGAGGCTTCGCCGCCCGTGATGTTGCCGTGGCGCTGCTGCAGGGCGATGATCTGGTTCTGCATGTGCTCGAATTTGATGTCCATCTCATTGCGCATGTCGGTCTTCATGCTCTCCATGTCTTTGGCGAGGCTGGCAAACTTAGCGTCGTGGGCATTGACGGTGGCTACGACGGTGGACATTGATGCCAGCAGCTGATCCATCTTCTGGTCCATGGAGAGGGTGGCGGCCATCGCGGCAGCCAGAACGTCCCAGAAGGTTGGATCTGACAGGGCTAATAGAAGCACCTTCACCGCGCACACCCTGAGGCTAAAATAACCTCGAGCCTGGCCTTGAGCCAAAATGGCTTGAGCCAAAATGGCTTGAGCCAAAATGGCTACGGATGATGATGATGATGATGATGATGATGATGGTGCTGATGCTGCTGATGCTGATAGCAAGGTTTAGGTTGCCGATGCATGATGCAGAAGATGAGGCTGCTGATGCTGATATTGATGATGATGACGACGGCGATGATGATCATGCTGTTGCTGCTGATGATCATGAACTTATAATGCTGCCGCTGCTGGTGATAGTGAAGGTGCTGCTGCTGCTTCTGATGATGATGCAGAAGAAGAAGAATGTGACGAGGAGGAGGAGGAGGAGGAACATGAGGAGGAGGAAGAGGAGGAGGAGTGAGGGAGAGCACAGTCGAGAGGAGGTGGTGGAAGGGAGAAAGAGCGGGGTAGGCTATCCCCAAGGATGTAAGGAGTAATAGGGACAACGGCAACAACACCAGGATATGTATTCCGGGATTACCCAAGGCTTACCCCACGACAATTTTGCCAGGCGCACGAGGATGTGGAGGATGAGGGGGACGCGGCGGGGGAGGAGGAGGAGCACGGTGAACATGAGGAGACGGAGGATGAGGAGGAGGAGAAGGGGGAGGTGGAGGAGGAGGAGGAGGAGGAGGAGGAGGGGGAGGATGAGGATGATGATGAGGTGGAGGAGGAGGAGGAAGAGGATGATGAGGAACATGACGAGGTGTCTAATACGGTGGGGGCATTGGATAAGGAAGCATTGGATAAGGAATCAAAGTCCTAGAAGCCAATGGAACTCCACTCGCGGATTAGCTGTGGATATTGCCGCCGCCCTCATCAAATAAGGAACCATCCAAAGTCTGAAGCCTCCCGTGCGCGTTCCTTGACCAACGCCCCCACCGTAGTAACTCCTCAAAAGGGCGGTTGTACGAATGCCTGTGGTTCAGCCTGATGGACGGACGTGCAACTGATGAGAAGGTGACACGAGCTGGGTTAACTGACGGCAATGCATGCAAGCCCTGAGTCGCGCGAAACGCGAAGGATCGCCACCGCCGTGTGCTCCTACAAGTAGCAGAGGATGATGATGCTGATGATGATGATGATGATGATGATGATGATGATGAGGAGGAGGAGGAGAAGGAGGAGGAGGAGGAGGAGGAGGAGGCTTCTCCTTGTCCTCCTTTGGTTCCCTGGGACTGGGATCCCTTGGAACTTCCAATAATACCTGACACTGCGACAGAACCTTCTCTATTCCCGTGCCCCCCCCTGCACAATCTACAACCATCCTCCCTATCGTCTTCCTCCTCCGTGGGCCCCCCATGATGATGAAGCGGACGGAGGAGGAGGAGGCGGAGGAGAAGGAGGAGGCGGAGGAGGAGGATGACTAGGAGGAGGAGGAGGAGGAGGAGGAGGAGGGAGGAGGAGGAGGAGGAGGAGGGAGGAGGCAGGAGGAGGAGGAGGAGGAGGAAGGAGGAGGAGGAGGAGGGGGGGGGGATGGGAGGGGGGGGGGGGGGGGGAGGAGGAGGATGTGAGGAGGAGTCGATGCAAGCTGGACTCTGGCCGTTGATCAAGGGTATCCACGTTCTGCCCTCGGGGCATGGGCTCTTGTGCTACAAACGGCTGCGGAGGAGGAGCGGCAGCGGGAGGAGGAGGAGGAGGAGGAGGAGTAGGAGGAGGAGGAGGAGGAGGAGGCGGAATGAGGCGGAGGAGGGAGGGAGGAGGGAGAAGGGACGAGGGAGGAGGAAGAGAATGAGGAGGGAGGAGGCGGAACGAGGCGGAGGAGGACAGCGACAGCGACGAGGGCGAGCCTCGCCTCGTGCGGATAGGGGCACTCGTTGGGGAAGGCGTGGTGCATCCACTGGGCGAACAGGCGCCCGTGGATGGGCACGGCGCCGCCGTTGCCCTCCCACCCCCTGCCGCTCCCCCAGCCCGTCGGGGGAGGAGGAGGAGGCTTCCCCTCCTCGTCCTCGTCCTCTTCCTCCTCCCCCTCCTCCTTTTTCTCCTCCTCTTTCTTCCCCCTCCTCCCTCCTCCTCCTCCTCCCTCCTCCTCCTCCTCCTCCTCCCTCCTCCTCCTCCTCCTCATTCCTCCTCCTCCTCCTCCTCCTCCTCCTCCTCCTCCTCCTATACCTCCTCCTCCTCCTCCTCCTCCTCCTCCTCCTCCTCCTCCTCCTCCTCCTCCTCCTCCTCCTCCTCCTCCTCCTCCTCCAGGGATCAGGACCCAGGGCGGGAGGCACGCAGCTCACGCTGCCGATGGGATCCTGCTGATCGGAGGGAAACGCCAATCGAGATGGCGGCGGGCTTCCCTGGCAGTGTTCCGTCTCCCTTGGGCCGCCTGGCGCCCTCTCGCCACCACAGCTGGATGCGCTGGGCGTTGTTTTATTCGGCGTTTCGGCTTTGGGCGGAAATGGGGGGGGAGGGGGGGGGGGTCCAGACCTCTGCTTAGTGCGAACGTTTGCAAGAGTGCTGCCTCTGTGGGGAGACTCTGCTCGCTCGAAACAGGCGCCAAACAACAGCCAAGATCTGCTCCATTGGGGGGGTGGGAGGGGGGTTCGGGGGCCCGCGCCCAGCGGCAAAACGATGCATGAAAAACGATCACAAGGTGGACTCGGGGAAGGGTGCGGGGATTGTCTTCGATCGGAATTGGCCGGGAGGGGAGATCAACCGTTGTCTCAGCTGGCCCGCCTCCGAGTGGGGGCCAGCTGGGGTTACCTCTCGGGGCCGTCTGTTCGCAGCCCGCTGCGCCAGGCGGCTCGACAACCAAACATCGAGAGAGAGAGAGAGAACGAGAGAACGAACGAGAGATCGAGAGGGAGAGAGAGAGAGAGAGACAGAGAGAACGAGAGAGAGAGAGAGAGAGAGGAAGGATAACGAGAACGAGACAGAGCGAGCAATATCGGAGAAGATACCGAGGGCGGGAAGCCAGCCTGGCGCCCGGGCGCACAGAGAACGGGGCGACGGCGAGCCGCGTCCTCCTCCTTCTCACCCTCGTCGCTCTCCTCTCCCTCCTTCTCTCTTCTCCTGCTGCTGCGCTCGCGCTGGCGCAGACACTCCGTCGCGCCATCTCTGCGCTCCGCATGGCGCCCAGCGGGTGAGAGGGATGCGAAGCCTCCTCCGCCAACTACCCCGTCCTCCCTCCTCCTCACTCCCTTCTTCCTCCTCCCTCCTCCTCCCTCCTCCTCCTCCTTCTCCTCCTCCTTTTCCTCCCTCTACTTCCTCCACCCTCGTGCCTCCTCCTTCTCCTCCTCCTCCTACCTCCTCCTCCTCCTCCTTTTCCTCCTCCTCTACCTCCTCCACCTCCTCCTCCTCCTCATCCCACCGTCTTAAGCCGCGCTGGCTCAGGCACGCGCGCGCGCCTGCTCGGCGCGCCCTCGCCTCCGTCCAGCGCCCCCGCGCTTTATGTCGACTCGGTGAGGGTGAGTCGCTGCGGCTTGAGGTCCATCGCTGTGGTGCGGTGGCAAGACGGGGTCAACACTACAGTACGCAGCGCATGAGCGCTACACCGATCATGGTGATTGAGTCGCGAGCGGCTACGCTGAATTTACAAGTTTTTGGGTACAGTACCGCCGACGCGGTTATTGCTGGCTTTGGGGAGCGCCATGACGGCGCGCTCAAGACTCAGGTCGAGGCAGCTCGGGAGCGGCCAAGAGGGGGGTGTCCAAGAGGGGGGGGTGCAAATCATGGCCAGCGGCACGTGCGCGGCCCAGGGGGGGGGGGCAGGGACGTAATGAAATCAGAAGAGGCGCCATGAACTCTGAGCAAAAATCATTGCCCACACCATGGAATTCCCTCCCCTCCTCCTCCTCCTCCTCCTCCTCCTCCTCCTCCTCCTCCTCCTCCTCCTCCTCCTCCTCCTCCCCTCCTCCTCCTCCTCCCCCTCCTCCTCCTTCCTCCTCCTCCTCATCCCTCACGTGCCAGGTCCAGGACAGGAGGTCCCAGATCGGGCAGGAGAAGCAGCGCGAGAAGCAGGTGCAGTTGGAGCTGCAGCTGCCCACAGAAGGACAGGATCCACGGCGTGGAAAAAAGCAGCCGAAGGAACAGCAACGCCTGGCGCAACTACAACGGACGCTGGTGGAGAAGGACCAGGAGGTGCACAAGTTGAGGCAAGAGCGGCAGCAACTCCGAATGCAGCTCCAAGAGGAGAATCGGGCGTTGGCAGAACTGGGTTTAGTGGGACCTGGCTTAGTGATATGTACCGGGGGGCGCCCCCCCCGTCCCATTCCACTAACCGGAATTGCCCTAACCCGAAAAACATTACCTACGGCAGACCTGGTTTAGTGATTCCAATCCAAATTTTGGGCTGCGGGGACCAATCACTAACCGGCTCCCCTTCACCGGGGTCCTGGCTATACCCGAGAGAAGACGGAGAAAACACAGGACCACCGGCGCCAGCGCAGCCCGTCCACTCCGAGGCTCTCCAAGACGGAGGCTCGCCGGATGCACGAGCCGAGTGCGGCAAAGGAGGGCGGCAGCGGCGCGCTCGGAGCGACCGGTGGAGGTCACGCGCCCGAGTCGGTCCCCCCCCCATGGTGGACGGAGCGGGAGAAAGCGGCAGCGCGCTCGCAGCGACCGGTGGAGGTCCAGAGCCCGCGTCGCCCTGCCACTCCACGCCGCCAGGGAAACCCGCCGCCACCGCCAACAGCTCCCCCGCCTGCGGCGGCGGCGGCAAAGCGGGAGCCCCCTATCGTCTCCCTTGTCATCCAGCACCCTCTCTCCGGAGCCAGGGGCGGCTGTGGAGAGGGCGGGGGCGGGACGCACGGACCGACGCCAATGGAGTATTGATACATCGGAGATCTAGGTACGATTCCTGAGGAGACGAATTTCGATGCGTTTCGGCCGTTCCTCTCCTTCCCGACACTCGCTCACGACAGGCAAGAAGACCACGATACTGCAGCCCTCAAGTCCGACGTCGATGGTACCTCTTCCAGTGGTCTGAATGGCTTGGCTGTGGAGGCCGAGCCGCCACCGCAAGGGTACTTCAACGACAGTGGCCACGGGGCTACACTCTCCGTGGATGCGGCCAGCGAGTCCAAAACTGCGAACATGGAGAGAGCGCAGGTTGCGAGGCCAGGAGACGAGCCCCGCCCTCGTGCGATTGATAAGGACAGTAAGGACAATCAGAAGAGGCAAACTACTGACGATGACGCCCAAACCGCAGCGTGTTGTGATAACAAACCACATGTCCTGTCCAGCAGCAGTTGGATGAGATTACGGCGTGCGAGTTCGGATCAGCGGCTAAGATTTGGGAGATCGTGCGCCGCGCGCCATGCCTTACCAATGTTGGTACGTGCAGGGGTGCAACCTTACCTTGCTTTGCTGGTGGACCAGGCTACTATTATCGCGGATTGGACGCCAAGTTTGTGACCCAGCGGCGGGTCTATTCCCGTGGTACTCGTAGTTTGTGAGGTCTCTTACCCATCTTTCCTCAATATGTGCGTTGGAGGTTCACACCTGTACTCTTGATGGTGCGTTCTCGCACGGCGCTGTGGCAGCGGCCGCCTTGGATACTTTATGTGATGAACTTGATAGAATGATTCGGCTCCCTAGGCGCTCCTGTCGCCGACGTGGACTCTGGAAGTCTGAGCGCTCCTCTTCCCACCTTCCTTCTCCCTTCTCCCTCCTCTCTCCTCCCTCCTCCTTCCTCCTCCCTTCACCCTCCCCCCTCCCCCCTCCTCTTCCCTCCTCCCTCCTCCCTCCCTCTCGACCCTCCACCCTCCTCCCTCCTCCCTCCTTGTTCCTCCTCCTCCTCACTTCTTCGTCCTCCTCCTCTTCCTCCTCTTCCTCCTCCTCTTTCCACCTCCTCCTCCTCCTCCTCCACCACCCTCCACCTCTTCCTCTTCCTCCTGGAGGGGGCCCCTAGAGTCGCGCCGCGCGGGGGCGCCCAGAAGCCCACGGCAGCGTCCGACGCAGCGTGAGCGTCGACGGCTGATGCTCACAGTGCTTCGGCACCTGTGCTCGGCCGAACCCTTAAGCAGAATGGGCACGGACCTCATCTTTGCATCCGACCCGTCACCACCGGACGGCTCTCAGCGCGGATGTGCACCGCCCGGCGGCGTGCACATGCACGGAGGCTGGCGTGCACGCCTGGCTACAGCGGCATCCACGGCAGGCCACGGAAGGTGAGGGAAGCAACGGATCATCCCGATCGTCGTCGTCGGCATCGGATCTCCTCCTTCCCCTCGTCATCGGTACTCCGAGTTTCTTAACAAGCGTTATGTTGTTCCGATCCTACTTAAGGACCGCATCCCAGAAATAAGTTCGAGCACCCAGAACAAGTGTCAAAAGAGTGTCGAAACAGTGTCGAAATGGTGTCGGGCGAGTGTCACCCAGGGCCCGACACGTGAAAACCCTTGAGCTTCGATACTTTCTTGGCCGCTCGAAATTCTTCCTGGTGATCAAGGCTAAAGTAGGTTGGAGCATCATAAAACCGTCGTTAGGGGGCCACATGCGAACCCTACCCCTTCCCCCCACGATTTCGGAGGGGGAGGGTGGGGTTCGCATGTGGCCCCCTAGTCGTCGTCGTCGGATCTCCTCCTTCCCCTCGTCATCGGCACTCCGAGTTTCTTAACAAGCGTCGGGGGGGCGTCACCCCCGCCGACGGCCCCGCATCGGGCAGCCGCCGCGCGCCGAAGGGCACTGCGACCCCCGGCGCGGCGCGACGACGAGGCGAGGTGGACCCCCGCTGGGGGGTACCCCCCCCACGCTTATCAAGAAACCCAGATTTGGACGCCCGAAATGGGTACGGAAAGAATGGGTACAATGCCCAACAACAAATGTTGTCCCAAACCAACAGCGGCCGCTGTTGGGCAAGCGGCCTTCTGTCTCAAATGGACACATGCCGTGGCGGCGCGGACAGCGAGTCCTGTCCAAAATGAGCAGGAACAAGAAACCCACCCTGACTCCAGATCCGCCCTACTTTGGCTTCTTTCCCAACTTAAAATTGCGTCGGAAATCCACCAATAAGAAGCCGAACAAGTAGGGCGGAAATTTCTGCACCCAACATAGGATAGGACGAAAATCCACAGAAGTAGGGCGGAAACAGCAACAGAAAAGTAGGGCGGAAATTGGCATCAGCGGGGCTTGAACAGTAAGACGGAAATTCCAAGCCCTACTTACGAATTTCCCCCAAGTAGGGCGGATCCGGAGTCAGGGCAGAGATCCAACGTCGTGACTTTTTCGATGCGGGGTCCCCGGAAATCTCGACACATTCCCTAGGACCAGTTTTTCATCCTGAATCGTTTTTTGACGGCCCCGAGGCCCGGCAAGGGCCCCCGGAGGCCGAACATAGCGAAAAACCTCCCGCCGTGATCTTTTCACAGCGCGAGAAGGTCTGGGTTATTAAGACGCCCAGGCTGCCCCGCGCCGCTACCCCCGATGTCTTTCGAGAAAGGGGTGCCGCTGGCCCCTTGGGCGTCAGCAGAGCGCCCCAGGGGTCCGGCAGACAGGCTACCCCCGCGCCTCCTCCTATACTGAAGGGGCCCCAGGACACACAAATAAATACACCCTCTCGCGCCTTTCTTCCTGACTGCTCGTCTCAAGTCGGGCCTGTCCCTCGACAGGAGGGGAATTCGAAAATACTTCAAACACAGTCTGGGGACGACGCTTTGACTGCTTTGGGCTATTTTGGCATATTTTGGGATTCTGTCTTGAATTTGTCCTTCGAAATCCGCCTGTATGGGGGTCATGCCTGACCTAATGCTCCTCCCCAGCCATCTATGGTGCGTCACTTTTGCTCGTCCCCAGCCGCCTGGGGTGCGCCACTTTTTTCGAGACGTGGCCCACGGACCTGTCGACACCCTCGCCCGGGGCTAACTCTTCATCCCGCGCCGTGCTTCGACGGCCCGAGAGCCCCGAACACCGACCTCTATGGCAAGGGTCGATTCCGATGTTTGTCGAGCCGCCGGCTTTCTGGGTCCAACTCCCCTCGTATTGACGAGCGACGGCGATGAAAGACGACGACGACCGACGACGACGACCTCGACAATGATGAGGGACGCCGACGAACTGCGACGACGAAGACCGACGACGAACGCTGACGGACGACGATGACGACGACGGCCGACGAGAGACGAACTTCTGGTGGGCAGTGCCTCACCTCCCCCCGCGCGACCGTGCCCGCCCCCGCCCTGGCGATCTTGTCGAGGCGCTCACGCAGCCTCTCGGGCAGTTCCCGGGGCGCCTGTGCGGCGGGAGGAGGGGCAGGTCGCCGCCGTCGTCGCCGCTGCCGTCGTCGTCGTCATCGCCTGCGTCGTCGCCGCTGTCGCCGTCGTCGTCGGAGGAGGCGGAAGAGGAGGAGGGGGAGGAGGAGGATGAGGGGGAGGAGGCGGATGAGGGGGAAGAGGAGGAAGAGGAAATAGGATGGGGAGGGGGAGGGGGAGGACGGGAGGGGTGCTGGGGGGGAAGAAGAGGAGGGTGATGAGGAGAAGGGGGAGGGGGAGGAGGGGGGCGGAGGAGGGGGAGAAGGAGAAGGCGAAGGCACATGAGACCCATGCGCCCCCTACGTGACATGACATCCGCAACCACAGAACCCTTTCCAAAAAGGGGCAAGCTGAATGAAGATCTGTTGTGACCCGCGATCTCTCGGGACGGAGTCCGCTCTGCACTCTTGACCAGACTTCACTCATCTCAGGCGGCTAGGAAGGGCACGGCTTTAGGATATTTCTCATCCAGCCTCCTGAGGCGATCGCTTCCCTTCTGAATAAGACAAGCTGACCAAGAAAACCCACATCCCCAATCCCACAATCGCGGATTCACCGAGGATTCGAAGATCCGCAAAAGATTTTGGGCTATGTTTTGCGTTCGTCGTTGCCCCCCCTGGTAAAACCCCACCCGAAATCTCCCTCCCCGAAGTCTCGAGGAGCCTGCGTTTCGTTTTGGCCCTCGCGCTTTCGTGATTGGGCGCCTGGTTTGAGCCAGTGACCAACGAGGGTGCAGCTGCGGACAAACGATGGTGCAAACTGCGCTCCAGCCTTGGCCGCCTGGTCAGCGGCTGTGGAGGCGGTCCGAAAGGACGAGGCTTAGGTCGGGCATGTCTCCTGCAGGCGGATTTGGGACGAGAAAAACATAGGCCAAACTTTTTTGGTCTGCGGGGCGAGAGCGAATCTCTTCCGGTTAAAAGCTAGGCGGGCTACGCAAAGCTCTAATTGGGGAGACAGAGCACAGGCGGGCGGGGCCTCAGGCGGCCAGAGGGCGGGGCCGGGGTGCAGGCGGTGCCGAGGAGCTTGCACAGGAACATATGCCAAACATGCCACAAACAAGATTGAAGATTGTCAAACATCGTCCCCGGACTATTCCTCCTGCAGGGGGACAGGCCCGACTCGAGGCGAGGTCTGGGCCGTTCCCTTGATGGGACTCGACCGCTGCCGCTCGTCCCGCATTCCCTTTGGCGACGGCAGGCGCCCGCACTACCAGACCAGGGATGCTCGGGGCTCAAACGCAGAGACCGACACTCACCAAACTCGCTGCCCGCCACTTGGCGATCGTCCAGGAAAGTATCCGGCCGCGACAGAAGGGATGCGGCACTGCTCGCCGCTGCACTGGTCTGGGGGTAAGGGCAAACTGAAGCGACCGAGCAATTCCGCAATAATCCTGCCTGAGCCGCTGAGCATTGCAGCCCCCCGGCGTGATCAGCCTGATTCGACACCCCTCCCTTGCGCGGAGCGCGCCGTGGACGCCGGAGGCGCCGCTGGGGGGCCCAGCGCAGATCCAAGAAATCCGCGCGGAGTGCCAGCAGTTTATGTTCATGCCGTTTTTCTTCTTCGACTGATCGGAAAAGCTCCTGAATGATAGGCCCAAGACACAAACCATCCAGGCATTTACGCCCCAGGAGCTCCCCGATCCCCGGGAGCTGCTGCTCAGGCCCTCCTTCGGCGAAAGCCTCGGGAGCAGCATCGAGCACATCTGCGTCCATGGCCTGCTCGTGCGCCGCCTGTCCAGAAACAGAACGAGCGGGATGCGGGACCACCACAAACATATATTTTTCTCTAATTGTTTTTGTTGCGGGACCACCCCGCATTCACAGAAGATTTTCGGCGGTGGACAACCCTCCATTTAGTAACCTCCCTTTAGTGAAACCGGCCTGGGACCGAAACCGACGGACCTGGACCCGCAAAAATGACGGCCGCGACGCCCTCTCACGAACCGAAAACGGCCAACTCCTTAATCGACGTGTCAGGGTAGGAGGTCTATCCAACTCCGACCCGCATCCATAGAGGATCTGGAACCTGGGAGGGAGGAGCTCTCCGATCCGGGTCGAGCCCGCCGCGAGGAGCCGAGGGCCGACCAAGGCAGACCCCCGATCGCGGTCGCAGGCAGGGGAGGTCCACCATCCTGAAGGGGCCCCAGGACACACAAGTAAATACACACAGATAAGAATATTCCTCATATTTTCCCATATGTGCTGGGTTTTTGTCTCTTCCCCCCACTTCCCATGTTTTCCCATCTTTTCTGGGGAATCGACGATTCACTGTGTCTGTGTGTTTATTTTCCTCCTGAAATCCATGGAGCACGGTGTCTCCAGAGAGAGGGAGGGGGCGGGCAGAGGAAGGAGGAGGCCGAGAGGGCAACCGAGGAGGGTGATGAGGATGCGGCGGAGGACGATCGCCCCACGGTGTGAAGATGGGACAGAGGAGTCCGAGGGGCAGCACGAGGAGTGGTGGCAGGAAGGCGGGAGGAGGCCCGGCCTCCGGCCTGCGGGCTCTGCTGAGGATGGGCTCGCGGGGGGAGGCCAGCAATCGAGCCAGCTTCGCAGGGGTCCGAGAATAAGCTGAGCACCTTTTACACTGGAGAATCCTGGGAACGGCAGGGGGCCACATGCGATCCCTACCCTTACCCTCCACGACTTCTGAGGGGGAGGGTGGGGTTCCCTTCGTTCGGGAGCTCCCGAGCGAAGTGAACCCCACCCTCCCCCTCCGAAATCGCGGGGGGTAGGGGTAGGGTTCGCATGTGGCCCCCTAGGAGAGGCAAGAGAGTGAAGGAGAGGCCGAGGAGTGGTGGCAGGAAGGCAGGAAAAAGGCCTGGCCTCCGGCCTGCGGACATTGCCGAGGATGGGTTCGGTTCGCAGGGGGAGGCCAGCCATCCAGCCGGATTCGCCGGGAGGAGGAGGAGGAGGAGGAGGAGGAGGAGGAGGAGGAGGAGGAGGAGGAGGAGGAGGAGGAGAATCAGCCAGATTCGCAGGGGCCCTGGTCTCCAGCGCCCATTGTGCCCTGGGACAACCAGAATCGGGAGCGGCCAAGAGGGGGGTGTCCAAGGGGGGGGGAAGCAAATCATGACCGGCGGCATGTGCGCGGCCCAGCGGGGGGGCCAGGGACGTAATGAAATAAGAAGAGGCGCCATGACATTTGGGGGAGTATCATGGCCCACGCCATGATATCCAGGCCCCCCCTAGTCATCACCCCCCTCTTTTCCGCCCCCGACAGAAATGGCTCCGGGGCGAAACGCTGGCCCCAGGGATGGGGTCGTGACCTGGCGCCGACCACTGAAAGGAGCATACATCGTCGTCTGCATGGGCTCCCAGCCTTTCGCGCAGTTCTGGAGCCTCTGGGGCCCGTGGGCCTCGAATCAGCTGAGCACCTTTTGCACTGGAGCACCCCGGGAGCGGGCCGAGGAGAGAGGCAAGGGAGGGAAGGAGAGGCGGCGGAGGAGGAGGAGGTCCAGACAAGGGAGGACGAGGGATAGGATGATAGGAGGAAAATAGGAGGAAAATAGGAGGACAAAGGAGGACAGGGAGGACAAGGGATGGGATGATAGGAGGATGATTCCGAGGAGGAGGAGGAGGAGGAGGAGGAGGAGGAGGAGGAGGAAGACAAGGATGAGCAGGAGGAGGAAGGCAAGGATGAGAAGCAGGAGGAAGACAAGGAAGACAAGGAGGAGGACGAGAATGAGGAGGACCATGGAAGGAGGACGAGAAGGAGGAAGACATAGATGGACACCACCATGCTTAGGGAGCCCGACCCCCCCCCTGTACGGGAGGGGGGAGGCGCGCGCAGGATGACGGAACGACCCTCACCCCGCCTTGCAAATCGAGGAGCCTGCGGTAGAGTTGAGTCGGGCGTGTCCCGCTACAGGGGCATTTTGGACGAAAAATGAAACATATTCAGAACAATTCCAAAGTAGTCAAAAATAGTCCCCCGACGATTGTTTTATTGTTTCTGAATCTTCCTCCTGTCGAGGGACGTGCCCGACATAACGGTAGAGTTAAGTCGGGCCTGTCCCCCTACAGGCCGATTTTGGACGACAAGTTGAAAATAGTCAAACAATGCCCTGAAATACTCAAAAATGATCCGGAAATCGTCCCCAGACTATTTTTGGACTATTTTCGAATATTCCTCCTGTGGAGGGGCGTGCCCGACATAACGGTAGAGCATGGTGAGGAGCAGGCGCAAGCTCCAGGCAAAGCAGCATCTGCAGACGAAGCGGCCCCAGTACGCCCCTGCGCTAGAAGCCTCCTCCTCCTCCTCCCTCCTCCTCCTCCTCCTTCCTCCTCCTCCTCCCTCCTCCTCCTCCGCCTCCTCCTCCTCTCCTCCTCCTCCTCCTCCTCCTCCTCCTCCTCCTCCTCCTCCTCCTCCTCGTCCTCGGCCTCCTCCTCCTCCTCCTCCTTCGCCTCCTCCTCCTCCTCCTCCTCCTCCTCCTCCTCCTCCTCCTCCAGAGGGAGGTGGATGACGAGGAGGGGGCGGCCCACACCCTCAGAATGACAGCGGAGGGAGGACGCGGAAGATATGGTGGATAGGAGCATGATGGCGACGACCAAGAGGGCGCTGATGAGGACGCCTTCTCCTCCTCTCCACCCCCCTTCCGGAAGAGGAGGGCGCGCACCCACTTCTCCTGAGAAGAAGGGGGCGGGTAAGAGGAGGGCACGTGGGAGGAGGACGACAAGCTGGGTGCGCTCGCGAGACATCTGACATCCTACCCCTCCCTCCCACCCTTGGCCAATTCCGGAGGTTCTTTTCTTTCCGCCAGCAGGTGTCATAGCGGACGTGGAACACCCAAAAGGTCCCCGGGATGTTGCCCGCAACATGGGATAAATGAGGTGCATTGGAGAAGAAGGTGGCGGCTGAGCAGGAGAACGAGCAGGATGAATAGGAGAAGGATGATGGAGGAGGAGGAGGACGAGGAGGAACTGCAGCGGCAGGAGCAGGAGGAGCTGGACGAGCAGGAAGACCAGAGGAAGGCGGGGGAGGGGAACGGACGGGGGCGACCAA